CCACCTTAGGTGTACGTGGCTGGCACCTTAGCCCGTTGAACTATAGGCGCCGAGCCGAAAAGCAACAATTCTCTGGAAAGATTGAAGAAAACATATTCTGAGAAAAGGCTTATTAGCTTTCACTTTGAGCAAAACTAAAACAAGAGAACTGTTTTTTTAAAATACTTGAACAAAAAGTTAATTTGTTGTTTTTGTTTTGTTTTGTTTTCATTTGTTCTTTCTGATACCTTACTTCTGGAGGGCTTGGTAAGTACCATTTTTAGGTTAAATTTAATACCCTATAGAATTTTAATTTAAATGCAGCCTTACAGCTACAAATGATTTACTAGTCTTTTTGATATTCAGGAAAGGCAAGGAAGGCCCACTGTTTGAGACTGTTAGCAAGACCTGACTACCCCAAAGTGTTTTTAATAATTTAAATACAAAACTATCTGATGACCAAAAGTGAGAAAAGGGGGCAGCGCCTGTGGCTCAGTGGGTAGGGCACAGGGCTCCATATAACGGGGGTGGCGGGTTCAAGCCCAGCCATGGCCAAACTGCAACAAAAAATAGCCAGGTGTTGTGGCGGACGCCTATAGTCCCAGCCACTCAGGAGGCTGAGGCAAGAGAATCGCCTAAGCCCAGGAGTTGGAAGTTGCTGTGAGCTGTGATGGCACCTCACTCTACTGAAGGCAACAAAGTGAGACTGTCTCTAAGAAAAAAAAAGTGAGGAAAGGAGTCACTGATCCAGGAAACTTACTAGATGCTTTTTTTTTTTTTTTGAGACAGAGTCTCACTGTGTGCCCCTCTGTAGAGTGCTGTGGTGTCACAGCTCACAGCAAGCTCAAACTCTTGGACTTAAGTGATTCTCTTGCTTCAGCCTCCCAAACAGCTGGGAGTACAAGCGCCCGCCCCAACGCCCAGCCATTTTTTGTTGCAGTTGTCATTGTTGTTTGGCTGGCCCAGGCTGGCCTTGAGCAGCTCTGAGCCCCACATGCTTTTTTGTTTAATTGTTTGTTATCTTCCCACCCTCCTGACTTGGCTGTGTATTTTTTTCACTACCCCAGTCACTTGGGTTTAATTGTTTTGATTTTGTAGAAATAGTAGTAATATATTGGGGAGACTTTCAAGCTAAAGAAAACTGTTTATGAATTATAAACAGTTTCTCTACACTCTTGGCCCAGATTGTCTTGTAAAATTTGGCTACACAGAGTATTAAGGAGTTGTGCTGTGGCAATTGGCTGTAGGGAATGGGATGCCTCAGAGGCTGTCTTGGCTAAGATAGGTTGTTTCTACCCTAACTAGACCTTTGGGAGAAAAAAGCAGGCCTTGTTGTATTCACCTTCTATTTCCAATGAGGGACTGATTTTTTTTTTTTTTTTGAGACAGAGCCTCAAGCTGTCCTCCTGGGCAGAGTGCCGTGGCATTACAGCTCACAGCAACCTCCAACTCCTGGGCTCAAGCGAGTCTCCTGCCTCCGCCTCCCAAGTAGCTGGGACCACAGGCGGCCGCCACAACGCCCGGCTATTTTTTGGTTGCAGCCGTCATTGTTGTTTGGCGGGTCCGGGCTGGGGATTCGAACCCGCCACCTTAGGTGTACGTGGCTGGCGCTTTAGCCGGTTGAGCTATAGGCGCCGAGCCTGATTTTTTTCTTAAAGAAAAGCTTCATTTAATAAGTTGCTTTGGGCAAAAAAAAAAAAATTCTTATGAATCTATCTTATGAAGGGTATTATTTCATTTGAATTATTTGGAAGCATGTTTTATTGGTTATCACTGGCTTGAGATGATTTTTTTTTTCTTTTTTGTTGCAGTTTTTGGCCGGGGTTGGGTTTGAACCCCACATCTCCAGCATATGGGGCCGGCACCCCACTCCTTGAACCACAGGTGCCGCCCCTTGAGAGGATTCTTAATGTGCCCTGAGTTTTCCTTTTCTCATGAAATAGATCCAAGTGTTTTCTCTTCTTAGAGTGAGCAAGAAAGACAAGAGCGTCTGGAAACACAAAGGGAGAAGCAGAAGGAACTGATACTGCAGCTCAAAACCCAGCTAGATGACCTGGAAACATTTGCCTATCAAGAAGGCAGTTATGACTCCCTGCCACAGTCTGTGGTCTTGGAAAGACAGCGGGTAAGCAGACCTCAGGGACATGTCCGCCACTGCCCAAGATTAACTCTTCCCTTCCAACATTTATAGGAGATCCTTTCCCAACTTACTTTCCCTTGACCTTATTACAAATCCTTTTGCAGGCCCAAATCAAAGGGAAGTTTTACTATTATTTGGAACCATTCTTTACACATGGAAAATACAGGTTCCAGGCTTGGCGCCTGTAGCTCAGTGGCTAGGGCATCAGCCACATACACTGGTGCTGGGCGGTTAGAATCCAGCCCAGGCCTGCCAAACAACAGTGACAACCCACTCGGTGCCTGTGGCTCAAGTGGCTAAGGTGCCAGCCATGTACACCCAAGGTGGCGGGTTCGAATCCAGCCTGGCCCGTCAAACAATGACGGCTGCAACCAAAACATAGCCAGGTGTTGTGGTGGGCACCTGTGGTCCCAGCTACTTGGGAGGCTGAGGCAGGAAACTCATTTGAGCCCAGAAGTTGAAGGTTGCTGTGAGCTGTGATGTCATAGCACTCTACCCAGGGGGACAGCTTGAGGCTTTGTCTCAAAAAAAAATAAAATAAAGTAACTTCTTTTTTATTTAGTCATTTAAAAAATCTACTTGGTTGCCTCATATAAGCTAGGCTGTCTCAAAAAAAAAAAAAAAAAACAGTGACAACTACAACCAAAAAATAGCTGGGTGTTGTAGCCAGTGCCTATAGTCTCAGCTACTTAGGAGGCTGAGGTAAGAGAATTGCTTAAACCCAAGAGTTTGAGGTTTCTTTGAGCTATGACACCACGACACTCTACCCAGAGGGACAGCTTGAGGCTTTGTCTCAAAAAATAAAATAAAATAAAATAACTTCTTTTTTATTTAGTCATTTAAAAAATCTACTTGGTTGCCTCATATAAGCTAGCTTTTTTTTTTTTTTTAAGAGAGACAGTCTTACTTTTGTCACCCTCAGTAGAGTGCCATGGCATCACAGCTCATTACAACCTCCAGCTCCTGGGCTTAGGCGATTCTCTTGCCTCAGCCTCCCAAGTAGCTGGAACTACAGGTGCCCGCTACAACACCCAGCTATTTTTTTGTTGCAGTTTGGCTGGGGCCGGGTTCAAACCCACCACCCTCAGTATATGGGGCCGGCGCCCTACTCACTGAGCCACAGGTGCCACCCAATATAATCTAGCTTTTTCCTACCACCTACCACTAGTTGGTAAATATTCCAAACTGACTTTAATACTGTATTTATTTAAGACATACCCAGTAAACAAATCTGCTGGGAGAGATATAGCTATAACGTTCTCTACATGTTTGTTTACTCCTGTGATGTGGTTGTTTTTCTGCCTGAACTGGGGTTATGTTATCTGGATTTCAAATTGTTCCTAATGTCAGGATATTTGGGCTGTTACTGTGCCTTGAAATTTTACATTGATTCTTTTTTAGTTGCCTAGAGTAGGGCAAGAAAGGATAAGAAAGATTAGAAGTTTTATTTTATTTTATTTTATTTTATTTTTTGAGACAGAGTCTTACTATGTCACCTTGGGTAGAGTGGTATGGCATCACAGCTCACAGAACCTCAAAATCTTGGGTTTAAGCGATTCTCTTGCCTCAGCCTCCCAAGTAGCTGGAACTACAGGCGCCCACCACAATTCCTAGCTAGAGAAGAGCCATTTCTATCAGAGAGGAACTAAAGGTTCTTGTTACTCTAAGAGTATAGAGTCTATGTTCTCAGCTTGAGAACATCAGTTGAATTGTTTTCTTTCACAAATTTGGAGGTCTGTGTGCTTTTTATTTCCATTTAAGGGTAGCAGACATGTTAGCTAAGATTCTCCTCCCTAGCCCTTTCCCTAAAAATTCCAAAGGGTGTGCTTATGCTTGTGGTTTTGTTAGGTGATCATAGATGAGTTAATAAAGAAACTGGACATGAACCTGAATGAGGACATCAGTTCCCTGTCCACTGAAGAGCTTCGTCAACGTGTAGATGCAGCCGTGGCTCAGATTGTTAACCCAGCCCGAGTCAAAGAACAGTTGGTCGAGCAGCTGAAAACTCAGATCCGGGACCTTGAGATGTTCATCAACTTTATCCAAGGTCAGAGGAGGGGATGGGAAAAGAAGAATGGACAGATGTCATAATAATTATATTTATTCTAAGTACTAATACCTAAAAATGCCAACTCTTGATGTACCATTTACAAGGTGTTTCAATCACTTAGGAAAGGAGCCAGCATGGCAGATGGAAAGAACTTGGGTTTCAGAAACAGATAGTTAAAATCTCAGCTCTGGGCAGCGCCTGTGGCTCAAAAGGGGAGGGCGCTGGTCCCATATGCTGGAGGTGGTGTGTTCAAACCCAGCTCCAGCCAAAAAAAAAAAAAAAACCAAAACCCCAGCTCTGCCACTTACATAAAGGATCTAAATAAATGGGAGCTAAACTTTTGCTACACAGGCACACAGAGTATTATAATGGACATTGGGGACTCACAAGCAGAGAGGTTGAGGGGGTAAAGGATGATGAAAATTATCTAGGGAGTACAATGTACAGTATTTGGGTGTTGGGTACATGTACACTAAAAAGCCCAGACTTCACCACTATGTAATATATACATGTAATGGAATTTAATTCATACCCCCTAAATCTATTAAAGGAAATTTAAAAAAGAAAGAAGAGGGGCTAAATATGTGTCTCCTCTTTGTAATTTCTGATTCCAGATGAAGTAGGAAGCCCCTTGCAGACAGGTGGTGGACACTGTGAGTGCAAGGCTGGAGGGAACACAGGAAATGGCTCCACCCGGGCAAGCAGCAGCAGACTGCCTCCTGGAAACAGCAAAAGTAAGTGCATCTTCCAAAATAGGCAAATCTATAGAGACAGAAAATAGATTAGTTGGGTGGCGCCTATAGCTCAGTGAGTAGGGCGCCGGGCCCATATACTGAGGGTGGTGGGTTCAAACCCAGCCCCAGCCAACTGCAACAAAAAATAGCTGAGCATTGTGGTGGGCGCCTGTAGTCCCAGCTACTTGGGAGGCTGAGGCAAGAGAATCACCTAAGCCCAAGAGCTGGAGGTTGCTGTGAGCTGTGATGCCATGGCACTCTACTGAGGATGACAGCATGAGACTCTGTCTCTAAAAAAAGAAGAAAATAGATTAGCTGTTGCCTAGGGCTTGCAAGAGTTGGGAAAGTGGAGAGTAGAGAATTCTAATGGTTCGGGGCTGCTTTTGGAGATGATGAAATATTCTAAAATTCATTGCAGTGATGGTTGTACAATTCTGAATTTACCAAAAACAACTGCACACTTTAAACTGAATTATATGGTATGTGAATTGTATCTCAATACAGCAACTTATTATAAACCCATAAAAAGGAAGTCTAGCTACATCCTAGATGGCTCTTGCTTTCACGTGGGACCCATAATGTGGTCAGAAGCAAGATTCTACCTCAGCTTGTGACTTGCTAAATGTAGCTCTGCATCATCATGGCCTCTCACTGATGAGCTATTCTCTTTTCCAAACAGCAAAAGCGGAAGATGTGAAGAGAGTCCGGGAGACAGGGCTGCACCTGATGCGGCGAGCTCTGGCAGTGCTCCAGATCTTTGCTGTTAGCCAGTTTGGTTGTGCCACAGGCCAGATCCCGCCAACCCTGTGGCAGCAGGGCCAGGCTGACAGAGACTACTCTCCCTTACTGAAGAGGCTGGAGGTGTCAGTGGACAGAGTGAAGCAGCTAGCCTTGAGGCACCAGCCTCATGACCATGTCATCACCTCTGCTAACCTCCAGGACCTCTCTCTAGGAGGCAAGGATGAGCTGACCCTGGCAGTACGGAAGGAGCTGACAGTGGCTGTGAGGGACCTGCTGGCCCATGGACTGTATGCTTCCTCCTCAGGCATGAGCCTCGTCATGGCCCCCATTGCTTGTTTGCTGCCAGCCTTCTCCTCGGCTCCTGAGACCATGCACCCCTGGGAGCTCTTTGTAAAGTACTACCGTGCTAAGAATGGCCGTGCTTATGTGGAATCTCCAGCCCGGAAGCTCTCCCAGTCCTTTGCCCTGCCTGTTACGGGAAACACTGCTGTGACCCCTAAACAGAGCCTACTAACAGCCATCCACATGGTGCTGACAGAACATGACCCTTTTAAGCGCAGTGCAGACTCGGAGTTGAAGGCCTTGGTGTGCATGGCACTGAATGAGCAGCGGCTGGTGTCCTGGATGAACCTCATCTGCAAGTCGGGGTCACTCATCGAGCCCCATTACCAGCCATGGAGCTACATGGCGCACACAGGCTTTGAGAGTGCCCTCAACTTGCTTAGTCGTCTCAGCAGCCTGAAGTTCAGCCTCCCTGTAGACCTGGCTGTGCGCCAGCTGAAGAATATCAAAGATGCCTTTTGATGAGAATGGCCTGCTCCTACACCAGCGCCTTGTTCAGTAAGGATAGATGTGTTAGTCTTCTAGTATAGGAGCAAGGAATAGGAGGAGGGGTAAAGACATTTTTCCTAGACCCTGCTTAGGTGTCAGTGAAATGAGTGTAAAATCCATTGTCCCCACCAAATTAGCATCTTGAAAAGATGTGCCGAAAACCTTCTTGTTAAGAAGGTTCTTAGCCAGGCGTTGTGGCAGGCGCCTGTAGGCCCAGCTACTTGAGAGGCTGAGGCAAGAGATTCGCCTAAGCCCAGGAGTTGGAGATTGCTGTGAGCTGTGATGCTACAGCACTCTACCGGGGGTGATAAAGTGAGACTCTTGTCTCTGAAAAAAAAAAAAGAAGGTTCTGCCCTAGTGTGTAACTACATTATATGTGGGCACGTGTGCTTAAACCTATGTTAAAGGAATCAATTGTGGCATACAGTTAATGCCCCAACTCATTGTGCCTTGTTTGATGTTTTAAAAAACTTGGGTTGCTCTAACCTTTATTTTTATAACAGCGAGTGACAACATGAGTCAGTTGGTATCAGAAGATATTCAACTTGAGACTCCTGTTAGATGAGTTGGAAGCCATCTTCTTGTATTTGAAGCAGGTTTGAGAGTCCTGAAGTCAGAATTTAAATTCCTTTTATAAATACAAGTTCTCCTTCCTAACCCCGAGTTCAGGGAAGACTATATTTCATGGCTGCCTCTAAAACGTAGGAATGGAAATATCTGAGAATAACGTTTCTTAGGCAGTTAACCACAAGTTGACTTTAACATAAGCCCTTTTTCTTGTAAGAACTGACATCTTCCTAACAAGGTAGTCCTTTTCTTACAGTGCAGACAATGGTCTTTTCTGTGTGTTAGGAATGAGAACTCATGTTCAATATCCTTTGACAAGTAAACTTTCCTTCACACACTTCCCAGCAAGACAGTCTTTTTAGAAGTAAATGTATTCAAGATAAACTTCTCAAGAAAATCCTTGCCACTTAAGTCATTTATATATAGGAATACATGTTAGTAACCAGCAGCTACCCCTCCCTGGGTTCCTCGTTAGGAACCTCTTGTCTTGGAATCTGGATGATGGAGGAGGTCTGATCGTGCAATAGATGCTGCAGTAGGGGTGGAAACTATGGCAGATCACTGTGTACAGACCAGAGGGCCAAGTAACTTTTCATTGTGAAACTGATTTTAGAGTGGTCCTATTTGGTCTTCAGTATTTTAGCCTTTGGTTCATATTTGTCATTCTGCTTTGGATGGGCACTGCTCCAGGATTGACCAAAGAGGGGCAAAATGTATCACTCCAAGCATGACTGATTCAACATTGTTTTCATGTATTAAGTTGCCAGCTGCACTTTATTTCTGCACTATTATGTAGTGCATTGTAATTTAATTTTTTTCCAGTAATAGATATATTTTGTGAGACAGAGTCTCAGTATGTTGCCCTTGGTAGAGTGCCATGGCGTCACAACTCACAGCAACCTCAAATCTTGGGCTTAAGCAATTCTTTTGCCTCTTCCTCCCAAGTAGCTGGGACTACTGGTGCCCACCACAACACCTGGCTATTTTTTGTTGCAGTTGTTATTGTTGCTTAGTTGGCCCGGGTCAGATTTGAACCCACCACTCTTGAGTATGTGGCTGACACCATAATCACTGAGCTATGGGCACCAAGCCCAATAATGTATCTCAAACAAATAACATACTGGGCTTGGCGCCTGTAGCTCAGTGAGTAGGGTGCCAGCCACATACACAGAGGCTGGTAGATTTGAGCCCGGCCCAGGCCTGCTAAACAACAGTGGCAACTGCAACCAAAAATAGCTGGGCGTTGTGGCGGGTGCATGTACTGAGGCGGAAGAATTGCTTAAGCCCAAAACTTTGAGGTTGCTGTGAGCTGTGACTCCAAGGCCCTCTACCGACATAGAGACACTCTGTCTCAAAAAAAAAAGATACATTATTGATACTTGATTAGTATGGGTCCACCTTTCCTGTGAAACAAGTATAAAATGTGTAAAAGATAACTTATATGGTTGCTAATAAATCATAGTATTTTGTGTAGCTTCTCTGAAGACCTTAGAGACCCTTGGCTTTGGTTTATATGTCTGGTTTTGTCTTATCAGCCTATCTGATCCAGATCAGTATTTCTTTGAAAGCTGTCTGCTTCCTCTGCCCTCTACACTGGATCAACTCAGCTATGGTGGTAGTAGTGGTTTTTAAATTTTTTTTCCTGAATAAATTCACTAAAAAGTGCCCTTGGCAAGATCATTCCCTCTCGCCCAGGCCTGCAGTCCCATCCCTACAACACATGTCACTACACATGCTGCTTTTGGAATTGGCATTCTAATCCATTTGTCTGGATATCATTTAGGGTGGGCAATAACTGATATAGCCATATGGCATAGCCTTGTATTATCTTTTTCTAGTACAAAACTAAAAAGGCTTTTTTTGTTTGGTTGTCATTGTCACCCTTGGTAGACTGCTGTGGCATCATAGCTCACAGCAACCTGAAACTCTTGGGCTCAAGTGATTATCTTGCCTCAGCCTCCCAAGTAGCTGGGACTACAGGTGCCCGTCA